AAATTCCTTAAATAAAGAAATAAAGTTTTTAATTGTACTCTGTCCTGAGTAATGCATGATGAAATCTTATGCCATCCTATGCCCAGAAAGTGAATCATTTTTTTATCTGGTGTATTCATTCTATATGTGCTACTTACTCATTACCATCTGGAATATCAGATTGACTATTAGTACCACAGAGCTAGTGCTCCATTAACTTTTATTTTACTTAATAATGTTCTTAGAGTGTAAGAGTAGTGGTGTTGGCAATTTAGATATGCCAAAGAGGTTGTAAAGTGTTTCCTTTAAGGGAAAAGATGAAAGCTCTCAGGAAAGACAAAAACAAAATTGAATGCTGAGGTTACTAAGATCTAAGGTAAGAGTGAATCTTCTATACTTGAACTTATGAATAAAGAAAAAGAAATTTGTGCTATTAAACCTCAAACTGCAAAAGTTACAGCCACATAAGTGCTTACTTTAAATGGAAACAGCATTAAATTATAATGCTCAGGGCTGGGGCTGTAGCTCAGTGGCAGAGCACTTGCTTAGCATATGTGAGTTGCTGGGTTCGAACCTTAGCACTACATAAAGTAAACAAATAAAGGCCTTAAGAAAATTATACTGTTCAGTATTGTCCATGGTTTCAGGAATCTACTGGGGTTACTGCAACATACCCCCCACACAGATAAGAGGGAACGACTATATTAGAGATCAGAACTACTATATTAGGAGTACTCTTATTCCAGAGGGTAATATTTCTTCTGGAATGCTGAAGTGGATAGTTAGAAATAAATTAAAAATTATGAATTTATATTGAGTGTCAAATCAAGTTGTTATTAGTGTTTTCATTTACTTTCCTTGATTTATAAAAGTTCTATTTTATTTATAAATGTTTTTTTTCTAACATCATTAACATAAGCACTTATTTGCTTAATCCTACCAATAGCATAGTTAATGTTCTTTTCACAGCTATGTGGTTTTTCATAGTATGGCTGTACAGTAGCTCATATAACTGTATGTTCTTACTGGTGGTCATTTAGGTTGTTCACTTTTTTTTTCTTTCAGAAACAATGCTCTTGTAAATTAAGTACTTATTTAGAAAAAGCATATGGATTGTATGTTTTCTTAGTAATTGTTTATCTAAGAAACTCCTTAGTATATTAGTTTATTATAATAGTTCATTGTGTATTATTAGTTTATGCAAATAAAGTGATTGGAACTGTTCACCTGGTGATCAGAAGTTTGGAACTTTTAGCTCTGCCCACTGACTTCTGGAAAGGGGAGTAAAGAGCTGGAGATGGAGCTATGTTAACAACTATTGAACAATAATCTTTGAATGAGCTTCTTGGAGGTCTTAGGAAATTGGCCTGCCTGTATTGGACATGGGAACTTCTCTGTCTTTCCTCCATATGACCCTGTGATACCTCTTCATCTGGCTGTTCATCTATATCCTTTACAAAATCCTTTGTAATAAACCAGTGAACTTAAGTAAAATGTTTTCCTGATTCTGTGAGCTATCCTAGCAAATTAATTGAACTCAAGGAGGAAGTAGTGGGAACCCCAGTTCATAGCTGGTTGTTGATCAGCAGTATAGGTGACAGTCTGCTACTTAATATTGCATATGAAGGATGGGTACTATGGGAATGTCCCCTTAAACTGTGGGGTCTTATTTTTAACTTCAGATAATGCCAGGAGTGGGTTGGATTATAGGACAGTCAATTGATGTCCACTGAAGAATTGCTTGGTGTGAGGAAAAACTTTCATACCCCAAGTCACAGAAGTGTTTATGTGAAATATGAGAATAGAGAGAAAATGGTTAGACCTTTCTTTTATGGTGGGTTCTTAGCACTTCTATTTTCCCCGTAGAGATTTGTTTTGAAGGCTGGGTTTTTTCTTTTTGCTCATAGAGATAGGGAGAGGCAAGGCTGTGACATGCCTTTTGACTAGGGTCAACCATGATTAGTGGGTTCAGTTCTTGTTTTTATGTATGGGGAAAGCTCCAATATTTGATTGTCCCCGATTTTGGTTGAGCATAAGTTTGATTCCTGGTTTAAAACCAAAAAAGACCTGAGACTGTTTACTCTCCTTTCTGATATTCCTATATTCAACAGATATTTCTTTTCACTTGCCTCAGAACTAGAGGAAATTAAAATATGCAGCACTTAATTTCAGGGCTCTAACTAGGGAACTGTTAATCTTACAGGGGATCTATAGGGGACTGAACTAACAAGGTGAAACTTTTTATACTTGTCTTTTTTGTCTGTATTCTACTCTACTCCCCGCCCCTTTTTTCTTTTAGTTAGCTTTTTTGCTGCTGTGACAAAAAGAATAAGAATAATTGTAAAGGAGGAAAAGTTTGTCTGGGGGCTCATGGTTTCAAAGGTCTCAGTCCTTAGGCAACAGCAGGCTCTATTCCTTGTGGCTTGAATTGAGGCTAAATATCATAGTGGAAGAATGTGGCAGAAGGAAGCAGTTTACATGATGATCATGAATTAGAGAGAACTCTATTCACCAGATACAAAATATATACCCTAAAGCCACTCCCCAATGACCCACCTTCTCTAGCCACACCTTACCCACCTACAGTAACCACCCAGTTAATCCCATCAAGGGATTAATTCACCCATTGGGTTAAGGCCCTCATAACAGTCATTTCTCCTCTAAACCTTCTTGTGTTGTCTCACACATGAGCCTTTGGGGAAACACATCCAAACCATAACATGAGCCATCCTTAATTTAAATGCCACAGAATAGTCTTTTATCTGTTGTGTTATGGTTTCTGTACTGTGCACTACTGATTTTTCTCAGGATGGTTGTAGATGAGTCTTTAAGCTGTTTCATAAATATTTAGTTATGAAAGCATGTCTTTCTAATAACTATGATATTTAATATTATTTGTTTTTCTTAATGAAATAATTATTCCAAGACAATGAAAAAAAATGTTACTCTGAGGTCTAGATCAGGGATGGATTTTATGTTGCCAGGATCAATAGTGTTGTCTAGTATTGGATTGGTAGAGTAGGAGATTCAGTAATTAGGTGCTATGTATCTGCTGACTCTGGCCTGCTTATTTATTTATTTATTTATTTATTGTGTGTGTGTGTGTGTGTGTGTGTGTGTATATGTTTGTATGTTGCAGGGGACCAGGATTAAACTCAGGGCACTCAACCACTGATCCACATCCCCAGGCCTATTTTGTATTTCATTTAGAGACCAGGTCTCACTGAGTTGCTTAGTGCTTTGCAGTTGCTAAGGCTGGTTAGCTGATCCTCCTGCCTCAGCCTCCCAAGCCATTGGGATTATAGGCATGCACTCAAACGCCTGGGTGGCCTATCTATTTTTAAAAATATTCTTTGGTAATTCTTTTGGAAAGTTTTCAAGTCTATTTTGAGGGGGAGGACTTATTATTTTTAAATTGTAATTTTCAGTGACATACTGTGCTTTTTTTAAAAAAAAAAATATATATTTTTTTTAGTTGTAGGTGGGTGGACACCATACCTTTATTTTATTTATTTATATGTGGTGTTGAGGATTGAACCCAGGGCCTCACACGTATTAGGCGAGTGCTCTACTGCTGAGCCATAACCCCAGCCCCATACTGTGCTTATTAGAGGACAAGTTTGTTGATTTCAAAACCTTGGGGAAAATCCTCAAAATTTTATATATCCATATATTGTTTTCTCTGCCTAATCTCAATGCTGTACTTTGTTGGATTCCCAGGAAAATGAATAACCCATGTTATTCATCAATGGGCAGATGTGCTCTTGCTGTTCCTTCTTGCAGGAGCTTGATTGTTCAATGTGCTATAACTTTTTAAATTCTATTATATATATATATATATATATATATATATATATATATTTTTTTTTTTTTTTTTTTCACTCTTTAATCCTCAATTTCAGGGATTTGAGAAATAGAGATGTCCTTACTGCTTTGGAGTTTAGATTAATGGGTGTCTCAGATTTTCAGATAACCATTCTCACATGAAAAAACAAGAAAAAGAGTGACTAGCTACCTTGGCAGAAATTATGACTGATGGAATGGAATGACCACAGGTCCAGGCCCTGGTTTTCAGATCTTTTTAGTTCAGCAACACTTCTCTAAAGTGTGATCAAACATGGGGATTGATTCACACTAAAGTCACATAAGATTGGTAATCAGACTTCTGAACTTTCACTGAGAAGTCCAGTACATAGTAGGACCAAAATATTCAACTGTTTAGAATAATTTTTTACAATTTCTTGATTTTATTTGGAAAGCTAATGAAGATTAAATGATTGTTTTGTAAATAGAATTTGATCAGAATCATGGCATTTCAGTGTTGTCCTCAAGCTCTGGTAGCACTTATACAGCATTTTATATTTTCTAGGTTATTAATTGTATATTGATGTCATTCAGAAAGAGCACTTTAACAGATTCTCCTCTATACAGAACCATATCACTTTTTGTATTGGATTTTAAAAATCAGTCTAAAAACTTTAGTTATTTTTTCTTCTACACACACACACACAAAAAAACTTCCATGGAAGAGAACAGTTTTGTTTTATCAGTATATAGCAAAACCATGTTTTAGATGTGCTATTGTTTCTTGGGCAGTCTCACCATTTATATTTTTCGTTATTTCAGACAGCTTTTAAAAAAGGATTATTTACCTTTCTGTGCATTGACTAAACAAAATCCATTACTGTGCTTGAAAAAAATAGTTCTGCTTCCCATCAGCAGGGAGACAACATAATATAATTTTAACTTTTAGTCAGACACAAACAAAGCTTGGCTTTCTAACAGTGGGGATATTCCTTAATCCCTTTTGGGCTTCTGTTTTCTGTTGGTAAAATGGAGATAATTTCAACCCTGCAGGGAGAATTAGCAAAATGCTAAATCTAGAGAAGTGGAAAGGGAAACTAAGAGAAATGATATCCTGGGAGCCAAATGAAATGTGTCTAGGAAGGAGTGATTACATCAGATGCTGATAATAAAACAAGTAAAAATACTGATAAATGGTCTTTGGTTTCTTTTTATAGGCATGCCCAAAGAAAAATACGACTCTCCTGACCCTCGGAGGATGTACACAATCATGTCCTCTGAGGAAGCAGCAAATGGAAAGAAATCACATTGGGCAGAGCTTGAAATAAGCGGTAAGACATGGAAGCATGAACTTATGATATGGAAATTAAGATATGATAGAAAATTAAGTTTTATAATGCCAGTACACAAAAGAAACAATAATTATGGTTTATATCTAATAATTTCTGTTAGAAACAGGAAAGTTCAGTGGAATGACCATGGTTGAGTCAAAGTTCAAACCCCATTTGTTATTTATTCTCTCAATATATTATTCTTTTATAAAATCAAGATGATAATATCAAAGATGAAATGATGATAACTTGTGGAGTGTTTAGTGTCCAAAAGTTTGTTCTGATGGGAAATGGCTATTCTGTATAGGTTTGGGAATAGATTTATGTCTCCTTACTCATTTGCATTCAGTCTCTTAGGACAGCTTTATTCAAAAACAAAATCTTAATAATTTGCAGCAGATAAGTTTCATTCTGTTTTTAGTGCAACTTGGATATATTCAAAGAAATATATGTGCCTGTGGACCCACTAAGAATATTTGCCGGATTTCTGTTCTCAGAACTAAAAGGCTGAGGGATTACTCCAGGGAAATTGGGCTGACTGGGCTGTGCAAAATAACCACACAAGAGACACAAATACCTTTTTCTTTGGGGTCGCTGTGACGGCTTCTCTGACCTTAAGGGTCTGCAGGAATATATATATATATATATATAGAGAGAGAGAGAGAGAGGGGGGGGGGGGGGGGGGGAACGCACTGACCCCTTTTATTGAGGAGAAGCTATTCAAATGAGGCAAGGTGTCAGGTTTCAGGGGACTGAGTCTTGTCTTCATGATGTTCACTGTCAGCAGGTTGACTGACATCTAGGTAGGCCCACACCCAAGGGCACAGTAAGAGAAGGGGACATACAAGGCACTTCCATGGAACATTCTATCCTAAACAGGGCAAGGGGTTATATTACAAAGGAACAGGTGAGCATAGCTCCACCCATGGGGCTATAAGAAGACATGCCCAGGCACGAAGACAGTCACTGGAACCCTAGAAGAGCAGGGCAGTCTAGCAGCATGGGTGCCTGATGCCACATCGCCCAGCAGGGGAGTTAACTCAGTCAGATTCAAGGTTGGTCTCCCACAAATATTCTTTCCCCAGTGCCCCTACTCATGAGTATACAGCCTCTTTAAATATTTCAAGGTAGTAAAGGGACATTGTTACTTCTCAGGGCAACCACGCTAAAGAAGTTCTGTGTACCTATATTTTCTTTCAAGGATGCCTGATTTTTATCTGATAAAAAGTACAGAATATTCTCTTCTTTTGACTGACCTCTCTTGTGTATTTTAATTTAATGTAGCAGACATACTGAGTAGATGTTGTGTATGAAAATTTTTTACCTGGCACTGTGTAGATGGAAAAAAACAAAAGTCCCTGTGTTTATGAGCTTATGACATATTAGGAAATGAAAGGAAGGGAGGATACAACTATAAATAATAGACAAAATATAATTACCAAATCTAGATGTAATAGTGCTATACCTGAAGGAAAAAGAAAGTAATGATGATAATAATTCTTTGTGAGCTCAAAATTTCTGATTTATCTGTTGAGTAAACTTAAATACCCTCATCTGTTGGAGATTGATACCACCGGTGTCTCTGGTTTTCTCTATTTTGATATCTAGAATGCTGTATAATTAAACCAAGTTCACTTTGGTAAAACTCTGATCGAATTCAGGTTTAAGCTCTTTGATAGGCAGCTATTTTACAGGTGGTGGCCTGTAGGTGATATTGTATTTTTTCTTTATCACACATGGGATCTGAACACCTTCTTTTCTATTGCTGTGTTTTGCCCATTGCCATTAATTCTTTGAGGGCTGCAAATAGTGATATTCTAATTCTAGCATTTCTTTAGCGGAAATATTTTATAGAGATTTCCCTTCCTTTACTATTTGATGTTCAATTTTTATAGGAAAGAATACTTGTTTTTTTCCTTTTATTTACTAGTCTTCAGGATAAACTGTCATCCTTTGAGGATGACCAGTTAGGTTTTTTAAGTATTAGTATTAAGTAGTGTATTTAAGCATTGGGTTTCAAACTTATTTGGTAAGTTGCAGTTATAATAAAATTGATACTTAAATTGTCCTGTTGTTGGCTAAGGGAGAATCTCTATAACTGAGTTCTTGAAATAAGTCTTGTTCTTTGGTAGTTTCCTTTCTGTCTTGTGTGACAAGATTTTCTTGGCTCATCTTGTGTATTTTTTTTTTTTTTAATCTCAAACCTAAAATAAGCCATTTTTCCAGGACATTTTTTTTTAAGTTGGAAATATTATTTCAAGATCATAAGCTAGGAGATAGGATATCCCCCCTTTTCATATGTATACACACACACATGTTCATATACATTTATGAATAAAAAATGTGATATGTAAGTAATATATACATGTTTATATGATATATATGACAAAATATTTTGAGGTACAGTTATATTTAAGGTTAATATGAAAACATACTGATACTTTGGATTTAAATTTAGGATAACAAGGTTTAAAAACTTTTCTGTAATTATTATTTATTTTTATCTCCGTACATACTGGGGTCCTGGTTCTCAGGTATATGGGATCATAGAATTTGAATATCCCATATTACTTTGTTATCCCATATTATATACACAAGTCTCAGAATAACAGTGTTAATCATACTATCACTATCCAGTGCCCTCAAAAAAATAAAATAAATATTTGGTAATCAATCTAAAAAAAGAGATGAAAGACCTCTACAGTGGAAACTATAGCACATTAAAGGAAGAAATAGAAGAAGACTTTAAGATGGAAAGATCTCCCATGCTCTTGGATAGGCAGAATTAACATTGTCAAAATGGCCATACTACCCAAAGTGTTTTTAGTTAATGCAATTCCTATTAAAATCCCAATGACATTCTGCGTAGAAATACAAAAAGCTGTCTTGAGATTCGTTTGGAAAAATAAGAGACCCAGAATACCAAAGAAATCCTTAGCAAGAAAAGAAATAGGAAGTATCACAATACCAGACCTTAAATATACTACAGAGCCATAGTAACAAAAACAGTATGGTATTGGCCCCAAAATGGATATGTATAGACCCAGGGGTACAGAATAGAAGAAACAGAGACAACCCCACATAAATACAGTTATCTCATACTTGACAAAGGTGCCAAAAACATATACATTGAAGAAAAGATAGACTGTAAAACAATTGGTGCTGGGAAAACTGGAAATCCATATGTAGCGAAATGAAATTAAACCCCTCTCTCTCACCTGCAGGAATTTCAACTCAAAGTGGATTAAAGACTTAGGCACTAGAACAGAGATCCTGCGCTTAATTGAAGAAAATTAGGCCCAAGTCAGCATAGTGTTGGCTTAGAATGACTTCCTTAACAAGATTCCTAAAGTGAAAGAAGTAGTATCTAGAATCAATAAATGGTATGTAATCAAACTAAAAAGGTTTCTTCACAGCAAAGGAAACAATCAATGTGAAGAGAGAGCCTACATAATGGGAGAAAATCTTTACCACATGTACCTCAGAGCATTAATCTCAAGGATATATAAAGAACTTAAAAAACTCAACACTAAAAAAACAAATAGTACAATTAATAAATGGGCTAAGGAACTGAACAGCTACTTCACAGAAGAAGAAATACAATGGATGAACAGATACATGAAAAAAATGTTCAACATCTCTAGCAATCAGAGAAATGCAAATTAAAACTACACTGAGATTCCATCTCTCCAGTCAGAATGGTAATAATCCGGAATATAAGCAACATTAAATATTGGTGAGGATGTGGGGGAAAAGGTACACTCATAATTGCTGGTGGGACTGCAAGTTGGTGCAGCCACTGTGGAAAGCAATATGGAGATTCTTCAGAAATCTTGGAATGGAACCACCATTTGGCCCAGTTATCCCACTTCTCAAAGGACGTAAAATTAGCTTAGTATAGTGACACAGCCACATCAATGTTTATAGCAGCTCAGTTCACAACAGCTAAGCTATGGAACTAACCTAGGTATCCTTCAGCAAATGAATGGATTAAGAAAATGTGTATGTACATAATGGAACATGACTCAACCTTAAAGAAGAATGAAATTATGGCATTTGTCAATAAATGGATGGAACTGGTGGAGAATATTATGCAAAGGGAAATAAGCCTATCCCTATAAACTGATATGTGGATGCTAATTCACAATGGGAGAGGAAGAATAGAGGTACTTTAGATTAGACAACGAGGAGGGAAGGGAGGGAAGGAACATGGGGGTAGGAATGATAATAGAATGAGTTGGACGTTATTACCCTATGTGCATATATGATTACAATGACCTGTGTAACTGTATATCCTGTACAACCAGAAGAATGAGAAGTTGTATTCCATTTATGTATGATGTGTCAATGCAGTCTACTGTCATGCATAACTAATTAGAACAAATTTTTAAAAAATTAAAAAAAAATACCATCACCAGAGTGATTACTCAGAGTAGATAAATCTTTACATTTTATTATATTTGTGCCATCCCTCACTTTTAAATAGTTGTATGGTTTCTATTATTATCAAAGCATGTAGCCCTCATACACACTGTCAGCATTCCCAAATGTTTAACCTGCATAACCCCTATTTAGTCATGGTATTATATATACTAAGTGGCCCCAGGAGCTCATATGTCTAATCATTTTCAATGTCAGCTTGTTCTTTAAGTCTTTAGAAAGAGTTCATGGGAGGGCTAGGAATATAGCTCAGTTGGTAAAGCGCTTGTCTAGCATGTGTGAAGCCCTGTGTTTAATCCCCAGCACCACAAAAAAAGGAAAAAAAGAAAGTGTTCATGGTAATAGTATTCCTTAAGTTTCTTACATGTTAATAAGTTTGTGCTCTTTATATTTAAAAGTCAGTTTTACTGAATATAGATTTTTTTTTTTTTTTTTTTTAGAGAGAAATTTTTTAATATTTATTTTTTAGTTTTCGGCGGACACAACATCCTTGTTTGTATGTGGTGTTGAGGATCGAACCCGGGCCGCACACATGCCAGGCGAGTGCGCTACCGCTTGAG